GGGTCTGGCTAGCAGCCCAGGTACCAGGAAGCACAACCCAACAGCCCCGATGGCCTTCCTTGGACCATGGACTCCCTGTTTTTGCCTATTCCCATGGACTTCTTCAGGACTCAAGGCTGGAGTAGGTCCAGCCTGGGCTTCCATCTCACATCCGGGTCTCACAGGGACTGACCCAGGTCCTAGGCAGAGCTGGAAGGAGCAAAGCTTAATTGCATCAGAACAGAAGCCTGCCGTGCATGCCAACGCTCTTAGCCCCCCGCAATCAATCTTCCACCCTGTAAACAGAGTTAGAAGTGCGACTCTAGCAATTATCAAGCCCATCATTTCCCTCTTCTTCTGTAAGTAAATTAGAAAGGCTCTCTGCTCTCACTTTGCAACCGACTCTCATTTGTAAAGTGCGGCTGTAAAAGCATTGCTGAGGGCTGTACTTCGAGAAAGAGGTGCCACGCCTGATGCCCAGTTGGCCAAGAGGCTTGGCTTCCAGCCCTGGTTTTGCGGCCAATCGGTCTGTGATCTTTGGCGAGGCCAGCACCCCTCTCTGGGCCTCGGTTTCCTCATCTATGAAGATTTGGGGCTAGGTGGCCTCAGGATGCCTTCCTGTCCTCATGGTCACAGGATCACAGCTGTGCTTAATTACTAGGGATGCTCCATGTAGCCAGAAGTTTAGCTTCTTTTCAGTCTGGACCTGACCCTCACCCGTCACAAACAGTGTGACCTTGCAGGTGCAGGCATACCAATTTTCACAGTAGTGCAGGAACGGAGCCACACTCACTGCACACTCACCCTGCACAGGCCCTGATCTAATCGTTCTACAGCAATGACCACATTTAACCCGCACCAGAGAACAATGATTAGGCCCACTTCACAGACAAGAAAACTGAGACACAGCAATGTCAAGTAGTACGTCCAAGCCAGGTCTGCCCGGCTCCAAAAGCCATGTTCATAGCCATAAGTCTCAAATAGAAAATCTAGACACTTCAGTAGAAAAAGAATGGATGGGGCACCTGGGTGGCTCAGTCAGTTAAGCATCGGACTCTTTAGTTTCAGCTCATGGTTCATGGGATCAAGCCCCACGCTGGGCTCCGCGCTGACAGTGTGTGGGATTCTCTGTCACTGTCTCTCTCTCTCTGCCCCTCCCCCATTTGCTCTTTCTCTCTCAAAATAAATTAAAAAGAAAAGAATGGCTAGACCAAGAGGAGAAGCCACCTCAGTGCAAAGGGAATGCCAGGCAAGGCCTCTGCATGACCGAGTGTACCCAAGCAGATGACAGATGTCCCCAAGCATGTGTGGGCCAGAAGGTCCTATGGGAAGGGTGTGGTTAGAAGCCATGAAAGTCTGATAAATGTGTCCCGGTGTGCCTGGCTCTCTCAAAATGGGCTCTTGCTTCCCCCAGCTCCTCCCTGCCTCTGGGAATGGAACACTAATTATTTTATTTGAAGGGAGTGTTTGGTGGTGTTTAGAAGCAGCAAGAACTAAATCGTATGACACCCGTTAGTGGCTGATAGAGGACATCCAGTTGCCTTTGCTCTGATGATCCAGCTCAGTCCCCCAGGGTTTCCCTACAGAAGCCCTGAGAATTCACATCTATTGGTGCTAAATGACATTCTAACTTTTTAGAAGATGGGTAAGAGAACCACAAAATATCACTTACTTTAAGGATTGTCTTCTCCCCACAAAATTATTTTTATTACCAAAAAAAAAATGTTTTCTAGAGAGAGTGTCAGTAGGTTCATCTGACGGATACCGACCCTGGAAGTTAGGTGTTTCATGGAAACAACTCTGCCATTCCCATCAGTGTGGGTTAGTCACATCCCTCGTCTTTTTCATTTCTCTTGAATACGTCCCGGAGTCATTTATAAATACATTGTTTAAGAATCCATCGATGTCAAACCCAGAGGCTCCCAGGTCATCTCAGGAGCCCCAGGCTGGACGGCTGCCCAGCTTAGTGGTCCTTGCTGAATCCCGGGTTCCCGGCCAGCACCCTGCTCCCTACCAGGCACCCTGGTGGCCCTGGAGGCAGAGCTATGGATTTGGAGAACCGTAATCCCGGGCTTCGCCATTAAGGATGCACCAGACGAGGGGGAAGTCCTCCAGCATTTCAGCATCGTGGGATTTATGAGTTGGGAGTCGATGCAGGATAGATGCACTCAGAAGCCTGAAGAGAAGCAGATGAGCCAGCCTTTGCCAGAGGCCCAGCCATCCTGCACCTGCTCCCTCGTCAGTAAAACACAACGATGCCCTCCAACTCACGAGATTGCTGGTGACGACCAAGGCACAGAGCAGGGCTGTGATTACCAACGAGGGGCGCCTGGCTGGCTCAGTGGGTAGAGCATGTGACACTTGATCTCGGGGTCATGAGTTCAAGCCCCATGTTGGGTACAGAGTTTACTTAAGGAAAAAAAGGGTGGGCACCTGGGTGGCTCAGTCAGTTAAGCGTCCAACTTCAGCTCAGGTCATGATCTCACGGTTCATGAGTTCATGTCCCCCATCGGGCTCTGTGCTGACAGCTCAGAGCCTGGAGCCTGCTTCAGATTCTGTGTCTCCCTCTCTGTCTGCCCTTCCACCACGTACACTCTCTCTCTCTCTCAAATAAGGATTAAAAAAAAAAAAAAAAAACTAAAAAACAAAAAGAACAAGATTGTCAAAGTTTGAGTCTTCTTCCACCACTGTGTGATTCTCCCCAAGTGACTTAATCCCTTGGAGGCTCAGTTTACCTTATCTGGAAAATGGCCATAGCAATGTCTTCCTCAAGGGACTGTGGTGAGGGTGCATTTCAAGTGCTTGACACAGTGCCTGGCACTCAACAAGTGTCTGTTAAGGGACAATTGTCATCTGGTGAAGGTGCCAATGCGAGGCCAAGCCCAGAAGAAGTGCACACTCAGCAGGCACTCCTTTACCCTTCGAATCCTTTCACATGTGGACCACGTGGGCACCGTTTCCCTCCTCCCAGGTGGCTCTTAGATGCTCCAGCCTTTTATAACAGCAGAGGCTCCTTCTTTCCTCAAAAAGTCTTCGCTGGAATCTTCCCAGAAACCCAGCATGATGCTCAGGTCCCTGGATAGAAAAGAGACAGCAGCAGCGGTCCTGCCCACCACACACGGAGGACACCCACAAGCAAACAACAAATGCACGACACAGAATGAAGTCCAACTAACAGCCCAAAGCTGGCGACAGCAGCCGTGTCCCAGGGCAGCCTATGATTAATTGCCAAATGAATTGTGCGGCTGTAATTGCTGCTGGGGTTCTGCAGAGGCAAATCTCCCTTCCAACCACAGTCCTCGGAAGAATGAATGCCCACACCCGAATATCTGGCTGAGGCGCTCAGAAAGATCACGGAGCTGGGAGCTGGGGCACCTGGGTGGCTCAGTCGGTTAAGCGTCCGACTTCGGCTCAGGTCATGATCTTGCGGTCTGTGCGTTCGAGCCCCACATTGAGCTCTGTGTTGACAGCTCAGAGCCTGGAGCCTGCTTCAGATCCTGTGTCTCCCTCTCTGCCCCTTCCCTGCTCATGCTCTGTCTCTCTCTGTCTCTCAAATATAAATAAATGTTAAAAAAAATTTTTTTTAAAAAAAGAAAGATCACGGAGCTGCGCAAAAGTGGAGGGTACAGGATCGGCAGGATCATATCAGCGAATATGGGGTGGGGGGCTTCCAGAGCTCTCCCTGGGGGACCCGCTATAGAGGCCCAGCTCTTCAGCTGCTCCTGTGACCAGACCTTGAGGCTCCCATCTGAGAAATGGGATTTCAGAGGGATGCAGTCACAGAAGTTATCCCCCCACCGTCCCCGGTGCCCCCCACCCCCAACACCCACCAACGCGGTAGCATGACCTTCACCAGTGACTCTGATGTGGGTGAGCCGCTGGTTTCTAAGCCTGTCTCTTCTCTGTCCTATTTTTACAATTCTTTTGTGGTTCTTGCTTATTTCTCAGTCTACAGTGTGTGGGAATAATATCTTAATTCCACCCACATAATAGGAGAGGACTAACGAATTACTTACTGTACCTGCAGTGCTCTGAGGTCGTCGGATGAAAGGAATTCAAATAACCCAAGGAGATCTTTTTGTTAAGTATTCCTTCATAGGCAGTACAAGGAAAAATTAGCTAATACCGGGGAGGGGCGTAGGAAATGAAGAGAATGAAATTACTGTGCATCATCACTCATGATTTTCTTTGAAGTCCTCTGTGATTGTTTTCTACCAATACGGTCCATGTGGAAACACTTGCTCTTGGCATCTGATGAACAAAACAGAGATGTCTGAAAGTCTTCCGTGTGTTTTATAAAAATTACAGGATTTGGGGGAATGGAAGGAGGCTCACTTGCCTTTCTTCCTTACGTCGATAGAAGGAAGGTCTGGGCGCATCTGGAATGTTCCTGGTAATTCGGCTTGCACCAGCTTGTGCCCCTCCTCGGTGCTGCTGGGCAGCCGGGATTCAGGAAATTGGTTTAGCCTTCTACACCAGACTCTGCCCAGCCAGGGGGTCCCCCCGTGGGGCCTGGCTCCACAGCCAGCCCTGGGCAGGGCCAGGTGGCCCCTCCCTGCCCACAGACTGGTAGGAAAACCCCAGTCTTGTGGCTGGGGAATCGGTGTGGTTCTGTCCATCCCAACTCCCTAGACCACCACCCACGTCCCGCCTGCTGGACCTCAGCCTTTTGAATTCACTCATTCACCAACTATCACTGAACCTCTTACTGTCCCACTGAACACAACAGAGAAAGCCCTGCTTTGGGGGGTTAGACATTCCAATAAAGAGACATTAAACAGAGAAGAGAGTATGTCAGCTGGCAGTGAGTATAGGAGGACACAGAAGAGTTGGGGCGCCTGGGTGGCTTAGTCGGTTGAGCGTCCGACTTTCGCTTAGGTCATGATCTCGCAGTTCGTGGGTTCGAGCCCCACGTCGGGCTCTGTGCTGACTGCCAGCTCAGAGCCTGGAGCCTGTTTCAGTCTGTGACTCCCTCTGTCTCTGACCCTCCCCTGCTCACGCTGTCTTTCTCTCTCTCCTAGAAATAAATAAAAAACATTAAAAAAAAAAAAGAAAGGAGGACACAGAAGAGCGCACGGGAAGAAGGTGACAGGGACAGCGGCAATGGAGCTGTTCTACAGGAACGGTCAAGAAGGGCCTCTCTGAGGAGCTGCCGTTGCAGCAGAGCCGAGGGAGCCCCCAAAGTCTGTGTCAGGAAGAACAGCCACCGGGGCAGAGGGAAGAGCGGGGGCAAAGACCTCGAGTTTGCTCAAAAGCAGCATTTACTCCACGGGTTCCGGGAACAGCAAGAAGCCAGTGCGCCTGGAACAGAGCTGGTGAGGGGAATGGAAAGTGGTAGGCGATGGATTGGAGAGTGGGCCGGGACCCACACAGCACCTGAGCGGGTCTCTGTCTGTAGCTCAGGCAGCACTCCTAATCCACCAGCTCACTCAGTCGGCAATGGGGTGCTACGCACCCTATGCCCTGGCTGGCCCTCGGGGTCCCTGCCAGGCTGAAGGGAAGAGAACAAAGCAGAAAGTTGCAAAAGGGGGGGGAAAGGCTTTAATATAATGCTCTCTTTTTTAAAAAAATGTTTATTTATTTATTTAGGGAGAGTGGGGGAGGGGTAGAGAGAAAGAGAGAGAGAATTCCAGGCGGGCTTAGAGATAACAGTGCAGAGCCCGACATGGGGCACGATCCCACGAACCTAGAGATCATGACCTGAGTTGAAATCAAGAGTCAGACACTCAACCCACCGAACCACTCAGGCACCCCTATATTTGTCTTTTTTTTTTCCAGAAGTAATAGTTACACATTTTAAAATGGGAAGATGCAATATGCAGAAAAGAATAATTATGGGGTGCCTGGGTGGCTCAGTCAGTTAAGTGTCCAATTGCGTCTCAGGTCATGATCTCATCGTCCATGGGTTCAAGCGCCGTGTCAGGCTCTGTTCTGACAGCTCAGAGTCTGGAGCCTGCTTCAGATTCTGTGTCTCCCTGTCTCTGCCCCTCCCCTGCTTGCACTCTGTCTCTCTCTCTCTCTTTCTTTCTCTCTCTCAAAAATAAATAAACATTAAAAAGAAGAAGAATATGTACATACAGAAGAGTAGAGAGAGCAGGCAGCTGGGGTTCTCATTGTTTCCTCTGCTGATTCCCAACCTTTACATAAGCAGTTATAATGCAATATACTAAATATATTTATAACATATGATACAATGTTATATGTTTTTAATGTTTTTAAATATGCAACTCTTTTATTATTCTGTAAAGGTATCAAAACATACAGATGACATTTTCCCTTATTTTAACATTACAAAGTCATATTATTGTTTATATATGTTACATATACCCATATTATCACAAATAGTACAAAGTACTATTATCTCTTATATATAAATACTATATAGCTGATCATGAGTTAGGTGTGTAAGCTGAACAATGTATTCCTCTGTGAAGTAAAAAAAAAAAAATACACACGGGGTACCTGGGTGGCTCAGTCGATTAAGCATCCAACTTCAGCTCAGATCATGATCTCGCAGTCCGTGGGTTCGAGCCTCGCATCAGGCTCTGGGCCAACAGCTCAGAGCCTGGAGCCTGCTTCAGATTCTGTCTCCCTCTCTGCCCCTCCCCCACTCGTACTCTGTCTCTCTCTCTCTCTCTCAAAAAAAAAAAATTTTTTTTAATTAAAAAACATTAAAAACACACACATATACATACGTGTGTGTGTGTGTGTGTGTGTGTGTGTTGTTTATCCTGAATAATCAGAGCAGGATTTTGTGAACTTGAACTCAAGGACTGGAGGAAGAAAATCACTGTGTGTATAAGACAGCACTTTGGACTCGGTTTCCAAAATAATTTTCACCCCCTCAGAAAACGTAAATATCCAAAGATGGAGACTTCACAGAAATCAAGAACAAATCAATCTGAGCTAATTTCAAATACAGAAAAGAGTATGGCACAGAATAATAGCCATGAATATAAACACAGACTATCCGCCATGTTATATGTATGCTATAACATATAGGTATATGTTTATAAAACATGCATCTGTAAAAAAGAAACTCAACTGAAAATTTTTCTCAAAATAAAATGGACTTGCACCACATCCTCTAACTTATGTACGGACCTTGGAACCCAACCTCCACAAAGGGAGATGCCACTAGTTCTGAGCCTCTACCTCCCCTGCTAGGTCCCCTTCTCATTGCTGGTGACACAATAAGCAGCAGTCAACAGAACAGAAAATAACTTCATCTTTTATCTTTTCTTCCCAAATTCCCATTGTCCAAAAAGACAGCAGATCAATCTAGAAATTCAGTCCCTCTGAATGAGGGTGAGGTGTCGGACTCCGTGGCATGTGCTGGAAATGTGGGCAAGAGGCAGGCTCCCAGAACACGGGGCGACGTTGATACGACTTTGCAGCAAACTGCTTGCCCTCCCCCCCATCCCACTCCCGCCCAAGCAGATCTTTGTCTTCTCCCTTTGCTGCCGCCTTCTCTGCTGCACAGACAAAACCAGGAAGCCCCCACCTCTGGCTGAAACTCCAGAGAGCGTCACCCACTATTGCACACCGTGGCCAAGCTTAGAACGCACCCCTTGAAGACTGGGTCTTTCTCAGCCCTCAGATCACCCGGCATTCTGAGGCTGTTCACGAGCCACCCTTGCTCAGTCCCCCAAAGGCAGTCAAAAGATTCTGCTCCTGACACATGCAAGGCTTTTAAAGGAAGAGTCATTTTTAATAAAAGCATGAAAATGCACATCGCTCTTCCCGGGAGCGCCACTTCCCAGCAGGAAAGTGATGAAGGCTTAAACAAAAGTCCTCGCCCCTCGGGGAAATTAATCATTTCTCTAGAAACCAAGGACCATTCCAGACAGCCAGCTCTGGCGGGACTGACAGTAAGGACATCACAGCAGCCACTGCTGGACACGGGAGCCCTTCTGTGGACAGACAGACAGACCCTGGGTTGGGTGTACTTATCCTAGTATCCCTGCTGGGCAGGTAACCACCGACCCACTGTTCAGATGGGGAAACCAAGGCCAAGTGAGAATAATGGCTTACCCAGCTGGAAAGAGCTCAGGTAGGTTCAGATATTTTGAGGCTGTTTTTTACATCTTTCTCAACCTGGTTTTCCCCATTGTTAGAAATAACACACAAAGCTTCCAGAAATGTCAGCAGCCACGATGCCTAGCAATAGAGTTCTGTTCAGGGAACTCACCTCAGTGAGGCCCGCTTTGCTGACTGCTTCTTGCCCGGGCCTCCACCACATCCAGACTCAGGAACAGCTGGTGCTCATGGAGCCCGATGGCTTTAAACCATAGCGTCACTTGCTTAGAAGGCACCGGTGATTTCTTCCAAGTGTAAGAGGCCAAATTAACTAGGAAAGTGTTTTTAAAATATAAATCCAGGGGCGCCTGGGTGGCTTAGGTCATGATCTCACTGTTTGTGGGTTGGAGCCCCACTTAGGCTTTATGCTGACAACTCAGAGCCTGGAGCCTGCTTCAGATTCTGTATCTCCCTCTCTCTCTGCCCCTCCCCTGCTCATGCTGTCTCTCAGAAATAAATAAAAACCAAAAAAATTAAAACTAAAAAAAAATAATAAAATATAAATCTGATGGTCGCTCCTTATTCTTGACAGGCCTCATCGGACCTACTATCCTAACAGGGATGAACTGTCCCTCGACACGGATTTCACAGACAAACGCTCCTCCACCAGCCAGGTGGGGCCCCTGCACGGGAGGAACGGTTCCGGGGGGGTCCCCTCCCTCGGAGCCACAGGCTGGGAGGCTCACGTTCCCACCAGCCCACCCCCACCCAAACCTCCGAATGGAGTTCCTGGCCCTTTCCTCTGGGTCCCGCTTGCCCTGAAGAGAATACCAAGTGGGTCTCATGTGTCCGAGGCGTATTAAAAAAGAAACTTTGCAGATTTGAGATTGATTTTAAGAGACACCGTGGGAAGGCAGAAAGCCTAGGGGCCCGGAGTCCTGGTTCTGGCCTGTGGGGTGGCCTGGGGTAGGGTGGGGGGCGTCTCTCTCAGTTTCCCCTTCTGTAAAACAAGAGGGGTCCAGGTGAGCACTCGCAGGCTCAGCCCTCCGGCGTGACCAGGGGACGGTCTCCCTCCCAGGACGCAGTTGTCCCACTGCGCCTCCTCCGCCAGGAGTCGGACGCGTGGGCAGGCTCCCCACGAGCGGGCCAACCCCCCGCCCCGCGGCTCCCGCAACCCTCCGCTCCGCCCGGGGCCCGGCCAGGCACCGGCCGCAGGATCCCTGCCCGACACCCGGCGCACGGCCCGGCGGGTGGAACCCCGCCCTCCCCCGAGTCTCCCAGCCGGGCGGGCGGAGGGCGGGGCGGGGCGGGGCGCGCGGGAGGCGGAGCCGAGCCGGGGAATCCTGCTCCGGGCGAGCGCCGGGCCCTGCAGAGCAGCCCCGCCGTCCGAGGGCCCCCGCGTCGGGGGCGGCGGGGAACCCCAGACGCAGCCGGGCCGGGAAGGGATCCCCGTGCCGAGCGAGCCGCCGCCGTCACCACCACCGCCACCACCGCCTCCGCGCCGCCCCCGCGGGCTGCCGGGTGCAGGGCGCGCCCCCACTCCGCCCGGCCCGCCGGCTCCCGCGGTCCCGCCGTCCACTCGCCGGCCAGTCGTCCGTGCGCCATGCAGCCGCCGCCCGCCCCGCGCGCGTAGGCGCCCGCCGCAGGCCATGCTGCTCCCGCTCGCCGCGCTGCTGGCCGCCGCCTGCCCGCTGCCGCCCGCCCGCGGCGGGGCCGCGGACGCGCCGGGCCTCGGCGGGGCGCCCCCCAACGCCTCCGTCAACGCGTCGTCCGCGGGCGAGCCCGCCGCCCCGCGGCTGCTGGCCTCCGCGGCGCCGGGGCCCCCAGAGCGCCCGGGCCCGGAGGAGGCGGCGGCGCCGTGCAACATCAGCGTGCAGCGGCAGATGCTGAGCTCGCTGCTCGTGCGCTGGGGCCGCCCGCGGGGCTTCCAGTGCGACCTGCTGCTCTTCTCCACCAACGCGCACGGCCGCGCCTTCTTCGCCGCCGCCTTCCACCGCGTCGGGCCGCCGCTGCTCATCGAGCACCTGGGGCTGGCGGCCGGCGGCGCGCAGCAGGACCTGCGCCTCTGCGTGGGCTGCGGCTGGGTGCGCGGCCGCCGCCCTGGCCGCCTCCGACCCGCCGCCGCTGCCGCCGGGACGCCCACCGCGCTGCCCGCCTACCCCGCCTCCGAGCCCCCCGGGCCGCTGTGGCTGCAGGGCGAGCCGCTGCACTTCTGCTGCCTGGACTTCAGCCTGGAGGAGCTGCAGGGAGAGCCGGGTTGGCGGCTGAACCGCAAGCCCATCGAGTCCACGCTGGTGGCCTGCTTCATGACCCTGGTCATCGTCGTGTGGAGCGTGGCCGCCCTCATCTGGCCGGTGCCCATCATCGCCGGCTTCCTGCCCAACGGCATGGAGCAGCGCCGGACCACCGCCAGCGCCGCCGCCGCCGCCGCCGCCGCCCCCGCCGCCGTGCCCGCGGGGACCGCCGCCGCTGCCGCCGCCGCCGCCGCCGCCGCCGCCGCCGCGGCCGTCACCTCGGGGGCGGCGGCCAAGTGACCCGCCCCGCTCCTCCCCGCGTCCGCCCTGTGTCCGCGCTCTCGGGGTGCCTTTCCCGCCGGGTGGCTCGGCCGGTGTGCTTCGTGCTGTAGTGACCGTTAGTTCTCCTTCCGGGGAGGGGGCCGCCAGAGGGGGCCCCGGCGGGGTGGCCCAGCGGGACGCGTGCCGCGCTTCTGGATCCGAGAGCCAGGTGCAAGCCCTTGCGCCCAGGGTGGGATCAGCAGCTTGGAAGACAGAGGAGGGAAATGGGGCCCTTTCCCCTCTAGTGCATCCCCCTCCCCTCCTCCCTCCCCGCACCCACGTGCCCTATATTCATGGCAGAAAATGACCAAATCCTGTGTATTTGTTTTATATATTTAATAACTGTTTTAAATGAAAGTTTTAGTAAAAAAAAAAAAATCAAATTGCTATTGCTGTAGTAAGAGAAGCTCTTTGTATCCAAACATAGTATTTGAAGTTTCTTGTTTTTTTTTTTTAAATTTATTTAAAGGTGGGGGAGGGGGGAGGCATGGGAAGGATTTCACACCCACATATTGTTACCGCTGAAAATGAACTTTATGAACCTTTTCCAAGTCAATCTATCCAGTGACGTGGCCTGGTGGGCGTTTCTTGTACTTCTGTGGTTTTTTTTGGCTTTTAATACAGACATTTTCCTCCAGAGATGCGTATGTAGCTTTTTTCTTTATTTGATTTAGGAAGAGGAATCCAAGAATTACAAGATGTTGCCCTGAAATAGGAGGGAGGGATTCTCCAAAGTCAGAGAGGGGCTCCTGCTGTCTTGCTGGCCTCTCTAGGAGGAGTAGCCGATGGGACCTGTATTCCTTACCCTAATGGAGATTATTCCTCCTCTTTCGGAGCTGCCCCCCAACACCCACCCACCCCACCCCTCAGCCTCACTGACATTTGTCAGGGTTTTCTGTGATTTGCCTTTTTGTCCCCTGCCTCACCATCTGCAAAACACCCAGTCAAATATCAAAATGGTAAAATCAATAATTCCCCTGAGCCAGGTACCTTTCACGGAAATGACTCCCTTTAGAAAGCAGGAAGCATGTAGATTTTCCTTTTCATATGTGTAAACCTTAACATAGGAGCACATTTTAAAAGCTAGTTTGCAAACTTGAGGTTTTATTTTGGCATTAATAAGATTTTTTTTACAAGGTAAGCTCGGTGACTGCTGGGCAGTAGTTGCAGATTCTAACCAGTTTTCAGAAGTAGAATAAATGAAAAGTCCTTAAAGTGGCCCAATATATAAACCATTTTAAAAGCCTTTTTAGGGGCGCCTGGGTGGCTGAGTCGGTTAAGCGTCCAACTTTTGCTTAGGTCATGATCTCGCGGTTCGTGGGTTCGAGCCCCGCGTCGGGCTCTGTGCTGACTGCCAGCTCAGAGCCTGGAGCCTGTTTCAGAGTCTGTGACTCCCTCTGTCTCTGCCCCTTCCCTGCTCACTCTGTCTCTCTCTCTCTCCTAGAAATTTAAAAAAAAAAAAAAATTAAAAAAAAACATTTAAAAAATCTTTTAAAAAAAGCCTTTTTAAAAAAATTTTTAAAAGCTACTTTCCCTTGCTCTATTTCCTCCCTGTTTTTTTTTTTTAATGTAATTTTTATTTATTTTTGAGAAAGAGAGATTGCGATTGGGGGGGGGGGAGACAGAATCAGAAGGAAGCTCCTGACTCTGAGCTGTCAGCACAGAGCCCAACACGGGGCTCAAACCCACAAGCGGTGAAATCATGACATTAGCCGAAGTCGGACACTTAACCGACTGAGCCACCCAGGTGCTCCTTCCTCCCCATTTTTGAGTGAGTAGCTGACACTGTTCTAGAGTCGTTCTCAAAGTGGGGCCTCTGGACCAGCATCACCAGTATCACCTGGGAACTTGTTAGAGTTTCCAACAGGGGCTCCATCCAGGACCCACTGGATCAGAAAACTCTGGGTGGGGCCCAGCATTCCGAAGTGTTTTAACAAGCACTCCTAAGGGATCATGATGCCTTTCAAGTTTGAGAACTGCTGTATACTAGTGGAAGGGAACCTTCAAAATATGTAACCTCCTTTAATCTCGAGATGTATCTATTAAATCAAAGAAATGAGACCCCCTTCTTCCACAGGAGTCTGAAGGAGAGGACCCAGGGCTCTCTCTTGCCGGGGCCAGCGATGAGAGAGGAGGGGGTGAGGGTGATGGCCTTCCCCTACTCCTGGTCCAGATGTTGAAGTTCAATGTAATGCAAGCCCACTAGCCTTGCAAGTCACTGCAAATTGTCTTATGCCCCAAAGCCAAGGTGGTATGTGAGTTGCACTTTTTTCAGCCCTGGGGTATCTAGCAGGAGAAAACCAATAACTGCTAACATCGGTCCATTTTCATGTAATCAC